TTTTCACGTAAATATAATTGGCAATAGGTCTCCTGCTCATCTGCCAAGTTTGGTGTAGAAAGAGTCAATACTTTTTAAGCAATGCGAAATAATGTGAAATGCCCAAGAACTGACGAAACATTTGGGGGGTGGTTTGGCCCCTACGTGTTAGCTATTACCAAATATTCAAACGTGAACCAATCCAGTCCTCTCAGTAGACTGCGAGGACTTCATTTCTTGCCTGTTAGCCGCCAAGAAAACCATTTTCTTGAGACCAAAATCTAATTTCTCTTGATATTTGGCCTACATCTTTAATGTCAGCGTGATGAGAATTTGGTGGTTCATCAACTAAATGTATCGTATATAGTTGATGAGTATTTTTATTCTTTTATTGTAAAGTGGGAAAATAAATGTTCATCATTCTTCCGCTGAATTTAGGTCTTGGTTGTTAGCATTCCATCTAGGAGTATTTCTAATTGCTCCTGGATGAGATGCTGGTCCATCGTAGGCCGTGGTACATGCAGGCCCAGCATTAAATTCGCCGCTACCCATATGTACACCTGGGTGGAGAGAGGCACTGTGAGAGTAAATTGCCTGGCCCAGGAACACAACACAACGAACCTGGCCAGGGATCGAACATAGACTGCTCGATCTGGAGTCCATTGCACTTACCATTAGGCGCTCCGTTCCGTGTATGAAGCTAATTTCTAGTCACCCCTTTGTTTAAACGAAGTCCCCACGCTTAAGCACGAGGCGCACTTTTGCAACGAACTTACGTGATTCCCGACACGTAGAAAATGACAAAAGCTGACAAACATTTAATCACTTATCTTCCTTTCCCAGCTGTTTATTACGAGGAACCAGAGCCAGAACCAGAAACAGAAGAACAGTTAGCAACTAGCTCGCCAACCGAAGCGCGCGAGCGCAGAGACATTCTCGATATTCCCGAGGCTTGCAGAACATCGAGCGGTCGGATGAAACGATCATGCGTCATTATTCCACCTCCACCACCCAAGCCGACGACGGCATCAAAACAGGAGATTGGTACTAAGCCTCCCAATGAAGACTTCCAAGGCAACACTTTCAACTCCAATGATACAGAACACTATTTCATACGGGTGTTCTCGTCAAACTGTTTATACTGGGATGAGAATACAGAAAACTGGATTAACAAGGGATGTAAGGCAAGTGTGGAACAGTGTGTTTTGGTTGCTATAAATGCTGTTGTAGATGATGATGATGATGATCATCATCATCATCATCATCATCATAGTGGTATTATTGTTGTTGTTGTCCTTGTTTTTGTTAGGCAAGACGCATGCTATGTAATGTAAGCCGACAAGCCCTGGGTGTGGTACTCGTGGGTGGTGCGGGAAGGAGGAACCCTCAGAGCCATTAAACTTACAAAGTTTATTAGCATCCGTGAAAACGATTATTTTATTCTTCGTTTGTCCTGTTGTTTTAAACACTTTACTTTCATGGTCTAAATTAGTCGACAAGCTTTCATTCGTTAATTGCTCATCGTAAAGATAAAGGACTTATTTATTTAGCGCGTATTTAATTGTAAGAATTATTTTTTCCAAGAAACTGAATCTGACGGTGAAGCCTACCACAGCTGTTACCCCAGTGCACGATAAACCCACTTTGCCAAAGAAACAACGAGCTTCAAAAGTGATTAAATCACGTTGTATCTGCAGTACCACATGACAGCGCTTCTCAATAACCCAGTTTCACAGTTGTACTTTTTGGCTAAATTATTTGCATTGCATAATCCAACATGAATGAGACAATTTCGAGCCATTTTTTTCAGTTTCAACATCAAGTGAACTGAGGCTTGACTTAAAATGTCGCGGGATTAGTGTATTACAAAAGTTTTATTTTTTTCTCCTCAGGTTGGAGAGAACACGAATCCAGAGCGTATTCACTGCCAGTGTAATCATTTAACATCTTTTGCGAGTGACTTCGTTGTGGCGCCAAATCCAATTGACTTTAGCAAGGTGTTTTCTGCTGACCTCAGCAAGGACTTTGTTGTTCTGTTGGTTGTTTGCCTGCTGTTTGGATTTTATTTACTGCTCGTTGTAATTGCTCGGCGATATGACAACAAAGATCTCGAAAAGGTAAGAGGTCTCGGGTCCACCAAGAGATTCTTTACAGCTTAAAAATCATTCTAGCCACAATTAAGAATCGATTGGCACTTCAATTTGCTATAAATAATTTTATGAAAACATAGACATATCAGTTTTAAGGGGGAAAGGCGCAATGAGGTTAACAAGGCCATACCACAACAACGGGAACTGTCGGAACTCCGTGCCCTTCTCTTTGCGATGAGCGTGTGGGTTTTTTAGCGTCCCCATTACGGATTACAGTTTACATTCCTTATCCGAGAAGACTTGAATGTGTAACCATTTGCAGATGTAATTACAAAGGTAGCACATTCTCCTCAGCTATTCTCTTCGTTTTGGTCCGGTCTAGGGCTCGAACCCTCGACCCCCCGCACAGTAGTCTGGCGCTCTACCAACTGAGCTAACCAGGCAAGTAAAGACAAAATATAGGTCGTGTTCATGACACTCGTCTCGTCTCCGAACAGTTTTCAGTGACTGCCGGTTGTAAATCACCCAAACGAAGGTGAACGATAAATTTCGAGTGTTGTTACCGATCATATTTGTCGTACTCGTGAAATTCGCTGTCAATCAATTTTCAGTCGATTGCTGTCAAGCGTAGCCAGTTCCAGGCTCTCAGTCAGTGGGGACGATCGAAAAAGCTGGCGGGCCCTCTCCTTTTCTCTCCCGGATCCCGCTTGTCGCCCACTGACCAAGGGCCTGGAACTGGCTATGTCAATCGCAGTTACGAGGTCAAACGAATTTTGCCGAGCATCAGATGTTGTAGCTTACAGTTCTTGTTGACGCTACGTCTAGAGATTTCGAACTCACGCTCTGTTGAAGAGACTCGAGGAGCCCGTTGAGAATTGAAAGATAGAGCAAGTGAGGTTCGACTAGAAAAATAAATAAAAATACATGTGAAGAAGAGCCGAGCGATATGAAAAATACAGGACAGAATATAAAGACTTACAAATGTTTCCTGACTGTAGCGATGACGGTGAAGCTAGGTAGAATAGATTCCGCAACAATATTAACTTGAAGCTAGAGAAAACGTTGAAAAGATTGGCGCGCTGGGAAACTGTAGCCTTTAAATAGCCCTAATTTGCATACATAAATGGCAAGCTAAAATAAAAATTCCCACGTGGAATCCTACAGATGTTATCGCCAATGTTCATGCACTAGGCAAACTCAGTAAGATTACTTTACGATTGAATTTCTCCTATTTCGCATGCAAAGCTGTTATAATGGCACGGGCGGATCCAGGAATTCTTTATAGGGGGCTGGTTGTACACCTTAACTTTCGACGCCACTGGTGGATGCCGAGCACCGCTAGTGCGAACTTCCAGGGGTCTGGGGCCATGTCCCCGAAAAAAGTTTCTGAATTTTACCCTCTAAAACACCACTTCCAGCATCTCTAACTCTTGAAAAAAGTTTGTGAAGGCATGGTATAAAATCTGGAGTTTTCTTTTTATTCAACCAGAAAATCAAAAACGATAATGTAGTTGCCCAATGTACGTTACCTTTTCCTAACTTGACAATCAATCAATTGGTGGAAGTGAAAAAAACTGCGTAACTCTATTTTGTTCTTTTATCTCTATGGTGAGTCAAGCAGATAAAATAATACTCAGAGGGGAGGGGGTTGCAACTCCCTACACCCGTCCCATAGCTCCTGAATGGAAAACTCAGCTACCACACTGTTCCTAGACCCTGTGTCAGCCGGGACTGGTAAAAGGGATTTAGGAATTCGGCAGAGTTGTTCAAAACACGATTGGCGTGAATTTCGAATTCAGCTTTTTAGCTTTGAAGTGAAATTTTTAGTTATATAGCACTTAATCACCGGCGAAATAAACAATCCTCACCTAGTATTAATCAGTGTTTGAAGAATCCGGCCTAGAAACGAAAAACGAGTTCTGCAGAACAGCGCTGCAATAACGGTGAAAGTTTTTTGATTGATTAAGACTGAGTTTTTTTTCCTTCGTTGCAGCTCGGAGCTACAGCAGTGAGAAACAGAGCTGAAGCCACCTTCTCATACCTAGTGAGTATCCACACTGGTGTGAGGCAGAACGCAGGGACAACCAGTACCGTATATATAGTCCTCTCTGGTGATGAGTGGGAAAGCACCCCGATGCCCCTGGTGGATCATGACCGAAAAGTGTTCCAGAGAGGCCAGGAAAACAATTTCGTGATTACAATTCCCAGACGACTTGGCAATCTAACCCATATAAGGATCTGGCATGACAATTATGGTACGATATCATTTTGTTCTTGTCTTAAAACGCTAATGATCATGGATTATTTCTATTAGTTAGAATGTTGAGCTCAAGGTCAGAAAGTCTGTTTTAGAGGCTTGTTTCATGTAAATGACGAGCAAGACAATTTATTCAGCCTCACAGTCCCAAACTCAACCGATCTGCAAGAATTAGTATTATTATATGGTTAGGTCCGTGAAGCGGGCAAGATGAACCAAATCCCGCGCTGTGATTGGCTACCCGATTGGCTATCTCGCCCGCTCGCGGCTACACGCTGTATCCGGCAAGAAACATCGACCAAGTTCTGTCGAGATGACTGGATATTGGCCTCGACTCCGTCTCGGTCCATAAACACACCCCCCCCAAAAAAAGAGCGTGGCCAATATCCAGCCCTCTTGACCTCACGTTTGGTCAATACCCTGCATATATTGTCGCGTCAATAAAAGACAAAGCACCGAGGGATAACATTGTGATGAACTAGCAACCCACCCTTGTGACAAGACACTGAGGATGACGGGTTTTGGTGGATAAAAATACTGGCGAATAACTTGAATTGTATCCAGTTGAAGTAACAGTACCTTCAGTTATTTTATGCCAAAGAAACCTGGAAAAGCTCGTCTCGTCCGGGTCTGCGTTCGAGCCTAGTGGCCTCCGGGATAAGGCCTGCGCTTAACTGCGGTTTCTGTAGTATGGGGTGACTAGGAGTATTTTTAGCTTCTCCCTCCTGGATTTCTCCCTCCCTCCTGTTCAATTTAGTACTCTTTACTAACTGGGAGTAGAGAGACACAGTCAGAGTAAAGTACCTTGTCCAAGGGCACAACACAATGACCCCGGCCAGGGCTCAAACCCGGACAGCGCGGTCTGGAGACTGGCTCACAACCATTGGGCCTCTGCGTCACCCAGAATGAAGCAAAACAGACCAAATGCAATAGTTACGATCCTCGTAAACAAAGCTTACATTGTTCATGTTTTATCATTTCTCAGGAAGCAACCCATCATGGTACCTGAGCCGTGTTTCCGTCGACGATTTGCGCACAGAAGAGCGTTGGTATTTCATCTGTGAGCGCTGGTTGGCTGTGGAAGAGGATGACGGGAAAGTGGAGCGCATCCTTCCGGTGGCAAGCGAGAAAGAATTGACGCATTTCCAACATTTGTTCGTAAGCAAGACCGTGCGGGAACTGGGAGATGGTCATCTGTGGTTTTCGGTGGTGACACGCCCTGCGAACAGTCCGTTCACTCGAGTTCAACGAATCTCGTGTTGTTTATCACTACTCTGCTGCACGATGATCACAAACTGCATGTTCTATCAGAAGGGAGGGGAGGGTGAAAAGGCGACCATAATCCAAATTGGAACCTATGAATTCGATCTGAAAGTATTTATCATCGGAGTCCAAGCGAGTCTCATTGTATTCCCAGTAAACTTTGCGTTGGTGCAGATTTTTCGAAATGTGCGTCCGAAAGAAGTGAAACAAGAGCGAAACATTGAAACGACAGAGAAGCAAGACGAACAAGTTTTCGTGGATATCAGTAGGTGTTCCTCCACCCAGACGATTCGAAACGCGTCCAGCGAGGCTAAGATAATCGAGGATAAAGAAGACCAAAGTGAAAAAGACACAAACACCACGAAAAAGAAGAAGAAAGGTCTGCCGCACGGCTTCGTTTACTTGGCTTGGGTTCTTTGTTTCTGCTCATCTGTTACTTGCGCACTGTTCACGGTCTTCTACAGCTTAGACTGGGGGTCTGAGATTGCAAATAAATGGCTTATTGCCTTTGTGACGTCATTCTTCCAATCAATATTAGTTATACAACCCCTGAAAGTGGTACTAGTTGCTCTTCTGTTCGCGATGATCATCAAAAAGCCGATGGACTCTGGCGACGAAACATCGGACAAAAAAGACCTCAAAGCGACTCCTGACGGCCAAGAGACTGGGGACGATATTCTCCTCGATTACGATGAGAATGACGAAAGATACAGGTAAGATAGCGCAGATTAAGCTTGGTATCGAGTAAGGAGAGCATACAATTCAAGTATTTATTGCGATCGCTTTGCTTGCTCTATTTATTGCCTTTGCTTTCTGTGCAACATTTTTGTCATTCACGAGTGACTCACTCTGTTAAGGGCGTTCGGCCGAAAATTTTCCAACAATTTTTTTTTCTGAGACTTTAACCACTGTAAGATGATGAGTTAGTTATGTCAGAAATGTAAAAAACATGGGGGTTCACCGACTTCCTTTTGGAAAGAACATGCCCGGAAGAACACCCTTAATCTAAAAAAATCGGGCTTCGTTAGCGAATAAGGCCACAGTATCTGTAAGCCCAAAAATATTGTAATTAGATCTTTGAAGTGAAATGTTGTCTTCCAAATATTGTTCAAGTGGACCTATTAAGTGAATTTAGTCAACTAGTGAGGCTCCTAAAAGAACAAGTTCGCATTTAGTGACCATAGTTTCACGCGCCTTGCAGCCGCAAGATGGCAGGATTCGATGTCCCGTGGACAGAAATCTTGAATTTTTTTCAACTTCCCACATTGAGTTTGTGTTCACTTTTGGACAATTTGGAGATAATTGCAAATGAAATCTGTTTCTGGGAAGAAAAGTAGGGGTCACCGAACGTCCAAGATCGTTAAATCCAGACAAAGCTATAGCAATGGCCATCTGCCCCATCATTGTTCATTTTATTTCATAGCGTGCGCTCTCATGCAAGACGTCGCGTGCGAATTTAGTGCGCAGTAAGGATGCGCAGAAACAATTGGCGAGAACTTCCTTAAGCCACAGGTGGCCTAAGCTCCAGCGGTGAGATGATCATTTGCATAAGAGCGGTCATAACGGAAATATAAGAGTTTGCATAGAAATATATACGATCGCTCTTAGGAAACAAAACTACTGTCAAGCTCTCAATTAAAATACCTCACCTTACTTTCACCGTGTATCGCTTGATCTCCGACTGCTTACTTGGCTGAAACGAGGCCATTTTAGTGAGTTATCGCTTCCTACCTTTCCCACTCCCTACGAGATAATGTACGCAAGATGATCATCGCCCATAGCTTTAGATTGAGCTGCCTGTGGTTAAGGTCATTCCCCAGTATTGCATTGCGCATCCGTACTGCGCATAATTTCACGCGTGATTAGCGCGGGCGCGTTAAGAAATGGCGGCTTTTTCTTTACGGCTGGACCTCGCCGTAGAGGTAAATCGTCATTTTCTCGCAAACGAGTATGATGACCTATCATTTTTCTTCTGTTATTTTGAATTGAGTAATAAATTTCTCTGTGTAAAATAAATATGGACCAATTCTCAGTGTAGAACAAAAAACAATCGTCGGAAACGTGAATTTAGCAAGCAATCGTGACTACAATCATGGTGCTACTATAAGGATTTATTGGGTATAACTGACAAGGTGCTATTGCTCCTAAACAAACATGCGGACCCCTCATTTTTATTTCAAAATTTACGTTCCTATAATATAAACAAACAATAGGCAAAGTTTCACAAAAATCTCAGTGCAGGTTCTATTTCAGTGGAATGACCTTAAGCAGCTCTGATGGCTTGAGTCCATTTCCAAAATACGTGATTGATGTTTATGACTGTCCAATAAAATCGGATGAGCTCACAATTAAAAATTATTATTATTATACATATGCTAGAAAAATTAAAACCGGCCAGTCCCGCCCAGGTGATTACTTCGGTGTTGAACAAAAGGTTTGTGGGCTCTGGGGAAGGAAGTTTATTTTGATCATGTTTTTACCGCTCTTTTGATCATTTTGTCTTAATTAATAATGTAAGTCTTTTATCATTTCAATTCTCCAGGCCTCCGGACGAGACTTTCCTGAATACCGCTCGTGCACACCGACTGAAGGAAGTGCGAATGTCCGAAATCCTGAAAGAGATCGTCACATATTTTTTGTTCCTGATGCTTCTGCTACTGGTTACCTATGGCAACAGGGACCCCAACACGTACCTGTTGAGGAAGACCCTCCACGAAACATTTGTGGACCTGGACCAACTCGGTGTAGACCTTGCAGATGTATGTATATCATACCTTCGCTTCTAAATACAAATAAATACTAACATAGTAATTCTCGTCGCAAGGTCTGAAATCTAAAGCAAACGAAGCTTTCGACCGTATCTCACAGTCACAGTCTTCTTCACAAAGTAAACTCTGCGTTGTCACGTGGCTTCATGCCTATTTACTCACGTGACAAGTCAAGTAATAACAATAACATTTCAGACCTTGTGACGTGAATTATCACTATTTAAATCAGTCCAAAGTGTTGATGAAAAAACTACATGAAAACACCAGGCGCGCACTGACAGCGAGGCTTTTGGCGGGAAAACTTGGAAGCCGCGATGAACGCCGGGAATTTTTCTTAAATACTGTCATGGAATACCGCAGAAAATGCAGCAACATTCTAGCTTGCTGATTGACTGCATTCTTCATGGCATGGAACAAATTAATGTTTTCTTCGTTCAAAAAGGCGCCAACAAAAAGAACATAGCGCGCCCTTGAACACCCAGGCTATCCACTCCAATTACGTGACAAAGAGGTGGGCAGCGAGACAGTCAGAATCTAGAATTTTGTTTTAGATACGATCAGGAGCCATAATCGGGGTTAAAGGCTTTATCGGCGATTAAGCTGTTGACGACGGGTAAATAAGTAAATTAATAGTTGGCTGCTAACTTTATACTTTTTAGGCGACTGACGTCGATCTATTCTGGCACTGGGGCCGAGAAACACTGGTACCGAATTTGTACCCAGGGGTGCTCTACAATAACAAATCGGACAAGTACACCGGGTTCCTTTCTGACAGAAACAACTACCTTGTTGGGATTTCCAGGCTTAGACAAGCGCGCGCGAAAAAAGGTGGGAGATTTGCTCTATTCTACTTAGCTCTTATTAACCGAGCAGGAGGTCTGTATGGGGGAATCTTGACCGAGGTCGTGAGGACCGAATGCAGTGAGGTCTGTACACACGACTAAGGTCAAGATTCTCACATACAGACCGACTAAGCTCGGTTAATAAGACGTTTATTATATGGCAAACAAGAACAATTCAATTGTTTTAATATAACTGGTTTGCTCTAAGTGACATTTTGCTTGCGAACGGCGATGAGCTGAATTTAATTCTGCCAGAGTTTGCTCATCCTCTTTACTTTTTTTTCTCATCATGCTTTTTGGCACTTCCATAAATAAATATTGCTAGAAGAAAATAGTCAATGATTTTGCTTTTTAGTTTAGATGCCGGTCTAGATGGAAAAATCTAGACCGCTTTCAATACCGATTTCAGACAATCAAATTCGTGAATTTGGTAGTTCCCAATCCTTGTGAGACAGAGCCATATAATAAAAGAAAGTTATTTATGTTTATGACTGGGATCTAGTTAACTGGCTTTTCTCATTGGAAATCCGGAGGAAGAGGATAGTGTCTTGTTTATTGCCCTGTCATGTAAAAGCTGAGGGAGCGTTCTGACCCAAAAGTTAGCATATATTACGGTTAAAATAACAAAACTGTTTGCCTTGCCAAAATTTGGAAGCCTCCGAGGCAGCACTTCGGCTTCTTTGAAGATTGCTGGTTTTCAGTGTCACGCAATTCAAAACAGATCAAAATCAAAATCAAAACCGGTCAATAGATAAAGTCCAGAATCTGGGAAATGAAAGAAGGTATCTATGCAAAGACTCTCGCCAAAATTCTGGTCACAAGAATTTTTCTTATGCGAGATATGCAGAGAAAATTTTTTCCCAAATTTATAGATATTTGTATGGAGACGCCATGCTGGTGCCCATCCGTATGGGCACCAACATGGCGGCTGGAAACCAACAGAAACATCTGTCACTGCGTTTTGCTACAAAACCGTTAATTTATCCCTCGAGGAACTCTAAAACATTAAAATAATACTTTTTTAAGACATGAACTGTTCAGATAGCCAAGTTCCCCGAAATGTCAGTTTTTTAACCATCATGACAGCTCTCTAGGCCGTCATGTAAATGCCGCGTCACGCAAAAGTTTGRAAATTCAAGAGTAGTGTATTACAAAACCACGAAACCATTCGAAGCGAAAATTTGTATGAATATTAGTTTTCAGCTGCTCTTATACATCATCAAAGTAAAATCTCAGGAAGATCAATAGTTTTGTAGTTCGAATTTAAGTGACGTCATGTGAAAACCAGCTATTGGCGAAATTTTGGCAATCCACAAAAATTTGGCAAGTTTGTGAAACTGGGGGTCGCACTTATTTTAAGCTACTTGTTGACAGATCTATTACTTATACAAACAAAATTGGCTCTAGTGCGACCCGGGCCCAAGAGAGGATAAAGGGTCATTGAGTTGGTCCCCATATAGGCCTTGTTCTCTAGGAAACCCCATCACGTTATGTCGAGATATGGTACCCAGTTCTTGCGCATAATTAATGTTACTATGCGCTTCGCGTAGACGTTTTCTTGGAGGATGAATTAAAAAGCCTTTTGGGCTGTGCACGTGAGTAAACTTCTTGTCAGAGGATGAACTGTTTCTAGACTTTCCTGAGATTTCTGAGGTCTAGAGTGATTTAAAATATAAATTCCGTGGCTATTTACCTTGGATGTATGGCCTGTATGGGGAAGTAACTCTCTTTAGTCTTAATTTTCATCCTCTCTTGGACAACACTGATGAACTTGAAAACCACTTTACTCGCTTTAAGACGATCGTTATCCCACAGTCTCAGTTTCTGTTTCACGATGTGATAATCAAACAGGGCAATTTGAAGTTACCATCGAAATAAATTGGTACAAAAATTTTAAGTTTCACTTTGTCGTGTTTTTCTTTTCTTTGACAGACTCCTGTGAGATCGTTCAACAATTCCAACGCTTCTTCAACCACTGTTATCCTGAGTACTCCTTGACGAACGAAGACACGAACGACTATGACATAGGATGGAAATTCCTAAACGAAAGTAAAACAACAAACTCTCGCCGAAGGAGAAGCATTCAAGAGCAGTTTGCCTTCCGTGGAGAAGACAGGTTCCTTATCGAATTCGGCGATACTTCCCGAATTCGATCGCGTCGTGCAATTGAGCCCGTGTACACTTCTACTTCCGGTCGTCAACAGAGAAGAAAGAAGCGGCCTGGAAACACAGCTAAAAATTACTACGTGTTGAACTCAGCCATGCTTCCGGATGGGTCCATCATTTCCTGTCCCTCCCGGTGGGTGCATCAAAGCGCACTGGACCTCAGAGGGTACCCCTTCTGGGGACGAATGACCATTTACGGGGGAGGTGGTTATCCAGCGGAGTTAGGATACGACTATCCCACGGCACTGACTGTCATCGCTGATCTTCATTCTCACAACTGGGTTGACATGCAAACGCGCTCGATTTTCGTCGAATTTACGGTGTACAACGCTAACGCTAACTTATTTGGCATCGCGTACCTGTTTTTTGAATTTTTGCCCACGGGTGGAGCCTTTCCTTACGCGCATTTTGCCGTATCCAGGCTGTACAGCTATGTCGGTCATTTCAGCCATTTCATCCTGGCCTGTCAAGTGTTCCTGATCCTGTTTATGCTCTATTTCATGTACCGCGAAGGTAAAGCCATCTATAAGAAAGGCAAGGCCTACTTTAACGGGTTCTTCAATTGGATGGAGATAGTTATGATCGCATGTGAGTTAGCAATGGTAGTTCTGTTCTTTGGGCGTCTCTGGGAAGTGAACAAGAACTTGGAAGAGCTACGCTACAATCCTAAGGACTTTGTAAGCTTCCAGTACGCAGGGGCAGCGGATGAATCGTTGACTTTCATCATGGGGATTCTAGTGTTCCTGGCGACCCTCCGCTTCCTGAAGCTGTTTAGGTTCAACAAGCGCATGTCCTTGCTGGGATCGACGATTGGAGAGTGCGCAAAGCCGCTTGGATCATTCTGCATCAGTTTCATGATCGTGTTTTTGGCGTACGCCATTCTTGCTTACCTGGTATTCGGGCTCGATAACGACAAGTTCAGGAATTTTTTCACCACCATTGAAACTCAGATCAGCATCATTCTGGGCGACTTCGACTACGAAGAACTCTCAAGCACAAACCGCATTCTGGGACCGGCGTACTTCTTCAGTTTCATGTACTTCAGTGTTTTCTACCTGCTGAACATGTTCATGGCCATCATCAACGACTCCTTTTCAGAAGTCAAGTCTTCGAACGACAAGCAAAAGAATGAGTATGAAATGGTTGAATTTATCCTGGCCAGATTTAAAGAGAATCTGGGCATCAACCGAAACCGTATCGGGACGAGCAAAAGCCCGTTTAAGAGTCATTCGGCGGGATTTCCTATGTCACCACCATTCTTGCCATCTGACTACAAGCACCGAGACGAAGATGGTATCAGCTTGGAAAGCAGTCTGTCTGACACCGACGAAAGTCCTCCAGCAATCACCCCACATAGCTTCCTTCGCAGGCTGTCGGAGTTAAACAAACGCGTAGATGAGATGACCACGTTCGTGGACAAAAACGACCAACATGACGCCGACAATGACCAAATGCTGCTTGAACTTATTGAAAACATGAAAACCGACGCGGAGGAAGTGCGATACGGTTCCATCGCCACGGTCCAAATAAGACTGTGACATTTGTTGCTAAAGAATACATTATTTCCAACTTTTCCATACGTAATTAACACTTAACTGTAAGTAGGTAAGTTTAGAACAGGGAGGTTTTTGTGCTCCTAAGAAAATTTATTAAGAATATTCAAGGAATATTAACGCACTTAGCAACTTCGGGGACAAATGAGCAGTATCTACAACGGCCCTAAAACCAGGGTTATTTCCCACTGCCTGTTTTTTGAAATCTAAGACGTTGGAAACGACATTGTAAGGTGTGAACCCTTGGTACAAGATTCACGCGTTGTAGCGCAGTTTTGTAGAATTTTGATTTTTTTTTATTAGTTCCCAAGGAAAAACGCAATTCCAGCCGTAATTTCCTGGGTTTTTCAAAAGCTATGTAAAGAATTACACATCTTTAAAAGTTTAGCCTAAATTTTTCAAGTTCATTCTTCGCAATCTGTCTATATCGTCGCTAATACTATTATTATTGATCCTTATTCCTATTAGCTTAGTAAACTATCGTTCTGAGTTTCCTATAGTTTAAAGGTAATTTCGCATGTCGCCATAACGATTCAAAATATCAGAACATTGAAACTTTAAATTAAGTGCTTTCCATTGTCACAGGGAATCTTATCAAAACTTGATGTCAACGCCCAAATATTTACTAGATGAAAGAAGTCGATCTTAATTGCAGTATTTGTTTTTAGCTTAGCTTGTACTTGACATTTTTTAGAGGGCAATTACATGCTGCCTCACATTCAGGTAATAAACCAAATTAGAGTTTTCTTCAATCTGTACGGCTCTATATTATTGACACTAGCATCGTCAATTACCAGGAGCAGTTTTTGTCTGTTACGAAACGTTTGCACGAATGTAACAACCAATCACAGGGTGTAATAACGCAAGCCTGACCCAATTTCGGATTACTGACACTAGAATGAAAACCGTTCTCAGCTGCGTTCTCACTGGAGGCCATTCTAAATTAACCTGCGTGAACTTCCCATCCAGATTATGCGCTTTTGTTCTCGTCCCATTCCCCGCTAAGGATGAATATGTGATCAGAATCATTGTTATGTGCACATTATTTGTTTGTTCTGGTCTCTTTTCTCATCGGGAGGCTTTTTAATTTCTCATTACTCTCCACTAAGCGCTTAAGTACTCCATAGAGCTAAACATGGCTCGCAATATAGAATCTTGCAACCAGCGGAAAGCGCGGGAAATTTTACGAACTTAATTCACGATTGGTTTCAATTTGCGCCTGATTGGCTTTGAAAACAACATGCGTGTTGTGATTAGTTAGATGCTGCAGGCAGTTTGAACCAATCAGAGTGTGTGAATGTAAAGCCAAAACAAACGGGATTTTTTCCGTCCGTCAATGCATAGCATCTCCAACAGCTAGTTTTGCGTCCGAAATACCAGTAAAATGCATATATTAAACAAGTTGTTTCGTTTTATCACTCCAAGACACAGAACAACTTTCCCTTATTTATTCGTTTATACAAACCACGGAATAAAACATTCCCTATTCATATTGAGAACTACTTAATAAGAATTAATTAAATAATTGAGCCATTGTAGAATGAAGAGGAAGTGATAACATGTAGAACACCGCCATTATTGAGTCATCAGTATGTAAACATACTTTCCTTGTCAAGTCTCTGACATTGAAGAATTTGTAAGACACACTCAAGATAACGTGTGTTTTCCAAGACTCGACTCTAACATTTTAGCAACATTAATTACTAATTTAATTAGTCACAGTTTAGTTATTAAGCGTGACTAGGACCTTTTGGTTATGAAAGGATTAATTTAGTTTTTGGCAAATTTTTGTTAAAAGAAAAGCTGGAAGAGTATAACATAAATTATACTTGTGCTAACCCAACACACTTGTATGCACATTAAGTAATAAATTTGACATTCCACTTGATTTGATGTGTAGCCTACATTTTCATTTTCATTTACGTGCCCACACATCGAGTCGCATGCTTTAACAATTCCAGTGCTTTCTCTTTCAAAGAATTGCAAACTTTTCCCGCGTTCCACATCAAATCGGTATTTTCTTTCAATACTATGAAATTTGAAGATACGCCCTGGGCTGGCATGGGGTATTTTGGGGGTGTGGGAGTTACTGTCTCCAGATTACATTAATGCAATTCCCCAAATCTCAGATGCAAAAATCCTTCTGATTATAAGTCCCTAATTGCAGAGATTTTGGTATCTGAGATTTTGGCAACTGAGATTTTTTCCCCTGGGAGTACATGTGCTTAGAATAGGGATTATTTTCTGCCAGTTTATTTTAGGGGCGCATCATAACTTTTAAGAATGTTACAGTACAGGGTTATCTTCAGCAGTTTATTCCCTTTCCCCCAGGTGGGGGAAAGGGCCCGCTTATTTCCAGGGGTGGAGAAAAAGGGGGAAAGTGGTGTTATCTTGCTACATGCATAGATGAATGCAAGGAAACCTGCACCTGTATTTCCATCTACTATACACATAGGTACTACACCCTAACATTCACCTACTCCACTGCCACATTGCTCCAATCAAAGTGCACTACAGTAACTGTAATGTCATCTCGGTACATGCGCACATCAGGGTAAGGAATACTTAAGCTTGTACTGACAGACACATGATCTTCACCACCAAGAGCTGCCTTGATGAGACAGGAAGCAGAGTTCTCCACATTGCATGCAGATTTCTGTTCTTGATATGTGATACTGTAGCCTGGATTGTGTCTCTGTAAATTATCCCTAACAAAGTCAACCGCTTCCTCTTTACTCAGCATATCCCATAAACCATCAGTGGCGAGAATCAGAAATTTGTCTGAGCACTGCAGCTGGTATGACGTCACTTCTGGTTCAGCAGTGAGATAGGGTGGAGTGAGGAATTCTTTAGCATCAGAGAGTGATTTTAAGCCCCTTTCATGGAACACTTTATCTTGTTTCTTCTTGCTCCATTTGAATTTAGCATCGCCAAATGCCCTTAACGGTGCAAGGCGGCCAAGAAGTCTTCCATGTTTAAGGCAAGTAGATGCCTCTTCAACTGGATGCTCACTCAATACTCTCTGGACTTCACTGGGGTTAGCTAGCAATGACAAATGAATAACTCCAAGTTAAAGTTGATAAATATGCAAGCAATCTGATTATTAATGGCACTTCTTGTAAAGAAAATATTAATATGAGGCATTTTTCATACTAAAATTTGAGAAACTGTGCCAAAGCTATTATGTTATTTCACCGATCACCATTTGATTACTCATATGAACTGTACAAAGTAACACACTATGTCATATTAACTCTAATTATTTAGCTTACCAAACATTAACTTACTTAGATCTGTCATAATTTCATTTAACTATGTTTGATTCAGAACAGTTATGTTAATTTGTAAGTCCTTATCAGTAGTGAGAGAACCTCCACTAAATTCACTAGTCTGTAATCAGGGAACAAGTTTGGGCAATTATTTTGATTTAGATGTAAGTACAGTGTGAAATCATAAAGGGAAATAGAGTTTCTCAATTGACTTTTTAAAGTACATTATCAAATAGCATTTCCAGTTTAGGTGTGACTACAGGCTTGTAAGTGGCTTACAATGTAGCATGGAGAGCTCAGGATGCAGTATTGTCATTATAGACAGGATGCTAGCCCAAATTACCTCAAGCACTTTTGTCACATTGCTTTGACAATTCAGCAGTACATATTTATACTTATAATCCATCAAATATTTTCGCTCGCAAGATTGGTCTAAAAGCGTCACCTGACCAAATATTCCCCAGCTAAAACTTGGGAATATCCAAGGATATTCCCCAATTTTCAAAACCCTGCATGTTGCGAAAAATATTTGAAGGATAATAAACACAATAGCCTCCATTTGGCATGAAAATGTGCTTGCATATTTGTCCTTGGACATTATCTGTTCCTCAAAGCTCACAGTTTTCCTCGAACCATGCTCTTGGAAAACTGTTCGCTTCTCGCCTCAGAACAGATAATGTCTGCGGACAAATATCCGAGCATATTTTCACGCCAAATGGAGACTAATGTATTATATACTTGTTATACCTCCCAACTCAAATATGTTTTTCGATTGGAGGGGAATGTGTCAGGTGTCATTGGTCAAAACTTGCGAACTCCCTAGGGTGAATAAAACTCATTAACTCCCAAGGGAAACAACAACTCAAGAACTCTTGACTTACACGTGATCAGGGTGTGCACCTTGAAGCCGCAGCAATTTTTGTGCCAGCCTTTGTCAACAGATGTTGTTCTTGCAGTTTGTTGAGTTGGGAGGTATAACAAAACACTAAAGGACTAGCCCCAGGGGAAACAGTGAGTTTTGTTTCCCCTCTGTGAACATTGAGGGTCTCGGGGAAACAAAATTTATGGTTTCCCTTGGCAATGGGGCCAGTCATTAAATGCTTCTTGTTGACCCCTGGCTTAAGTAAAATGTGATTTCAGCATGGTACTTACCAGCTGTATGGTCAGTGGATAACTGCAGTGCTGACCACTGCCCATCCTCACTCTGCACACCAAGCACAGCACGGCAGTCTCCACAGTTTGCCACAGTGAGCTCTGTGCCCTTTATGTACGCAACCAATGCACAAGCCCCTGATGTAGCTGACTTAAATTTGTGTTCATTAGCTTCCTGGTTATCTCCTTGGGATAATGCTTCATGACTTAAATTGTCATCTAGTCTAAGAAAAGCTTTGGACAGTGCTGCCATAGTTTGAAAAACTTGCTCTTCCTTTGCCTCTGCAGCAGCAGCTTGGTGGCCATGAGTCTCCTGAAGATGCGCAAGTGTAGGGGCCACAGAATCACCACTGTGATGTCTCTTTTGCACCCTACGCAGCTCCAAAAAGTAATTCTTAAGATTTTCATAGCAGACAGGGTCCTCACGGTAATTGTAGTTATTAGGGGCATTAGAAACCAGAAAGTGCTTAGCACAAAGGTAGTTCTTTAAAGTTGATCCTAAAAGAATTTCATTTGGAAGCAGTGCCAGTCCTATATAATCTGAGAGGCGTTGAGCCACATTATGAGCACAGCTGTTTCCTCCATGACCGTCCAACACTCCAAATAACAGGGCTTCCCTGTCGTGCAGTAATCTTGTCACGAACCTTCGATCCTCAGTAGGTTCGTTAGAAGGCAACAGATTGGACTCAAATCTGCTTACAATTCCGCCCTGAAGCTTCCCTTCACATTCATTTTTCGTAATAATGTCCATAACTTCCTCATCTGACATCATCCATGGTTCTTTGGAGCTGCTTCGAATGTTTATTCCGAATAAGCTCGATCGGGCGCGAGCTTTCGTCGACGTCAATGCCTGTAACACCGCTAAGTTGCCGATATTTGCAAATCCACGATAACCGAGACGGGTTGAAATTCTACTATTCCAATTAAAACTATTAATTGTTTTCTTTCTTCCTTCGGTATAACTACGTCTGGAAAATGATCCCTTGAAGTTTGAGAACATACCACGTTGCATAAGTGATGACTTGTTTATACATTGTTGTGCTTTTGAGATTCCAGCGCGCGATGAACGGGCCATCTTAACGGTCAACATCTTAGTCACGTCCTGTAGCAACGACTTCAACCAGTTTGTCATTAAAATGACGGGAAGATCTTGAGAACAAAGCCAATTTTACCCCCAATATTCTTCAGTCCCTTCGGTGTACGTATATATCTCTAATGACAATGATATCGAACGGCTTAGTCTCTTTTGAAAACGCAGATCGCGCCTTTCGTCAGTAGCACACGATCCATGTTGCAGCGTTTTCTCGTTGCATAAAGCAAAATTCATCCATTATGGTTGGTTATGACCTCACAAACAACAACAGTACAATTAAGCAAACTTCCTTGGGTTCGACCGCCATGTTGATTAACAAAGTACCCATAATGCCCTGTTGACAGAGAAAGACTACTTCCCAGGCCCAATCACCCGTTCTAGTTTTCGGCGTGTCTTCGCCCGTACCGTTGAGCCTGTAAACGCGCACTGCTGTGGCTGTTGTTTTCAGTTCTTTATTAAGGCTGGATTCAGAGGATTTAAGGCTAGATGGTGGCACTACATTGAAAGAGGATTTCCAGTCCGTACTGCGCAGTCTCAGCACCCTAATGACACTGTTCATAAACATTATAAGTCTCCTCGATGAAATGCGAATCGATCAGTGGAATCGATTTTATTCGTTACGAACCTCATACCCTATCTCTAAGGTCTTTCAAATTCTTTTTCCAACAGTTTCATTGATTTTTACAGCTTCGAAATTGTTTCATCAAGTGGTACTAGAAAGAACGAAGCATAAAGCGTCGACCGCTCGCATCCGTAATGGAGCTTGTTTTGAAACTTTGAATTTACCTGATGTAAGTAGTTGCCAAATGTTTACATTTTGTGATGTCTTACATGAAATAACACAAAAAACGTAAACAAACTCTCGAGAGTGCGCAGTACGGACTGGAAATCATCTAGTACCCATTTACATTGGCCGGTTTCGCCCGCCAGATCACACCTCTCCGGCAAATCAATAAAAGACGCAACCAAACCCTTCTGCCTTTTAATTCATTTTAATTTTATATTTCATATAAGGCATTTACTTTTGCTAATTGTGGTAAAATTCTCAGATTTCTCTGAATAAACCCGCTTTTTTTCCATTTGCTTGATTTTTTTATTTTTAATTTGTTTCGTTGTTGCGCGATTCTTTTCCTCGAGTCCGAAAGTCACTCCTCCTTTTCTAATGCTCAAATAAGGAGCAAACACCTACGGCTGAAAATACTCATCGCCAGCGTAGAATAAGATGACGAAATCAGCGACGTCTGTATCTGAATCGGCTGTTCTTTTAACTTCGTCCGTTTTGCCTGAGCTCTTGCGAAAGCGTAGTCCATGTATCATTTATTACATTTCTTAAAAAAAATACCTAGAAGGCATACCTAGAACAAATTCATGAAAAGGTATATGATTCCAAGTTAACTGGGTGTCACTGATGCACAAACAAGGTATTTCAGTGTAGTTAGGATAAGATATATGGACAAGAAAAATTTGGGTCCGGTCAGAAATCTTTCACCGTCGTCACGAAAGCTATTTCGCTAGGAAACCACGGTCAGTAACTGAGCAATGGTGATGTCTTTCGCGTAAAAAATGTATCATTACAATAATACTGATAAATAAAACCAAAATGCTATGCAAGTCTCGCTAGGACACAGAAGAAGAAATTTATGATTTAATAGTGACTGTATGGAAAATGTTGGGTTTTATAGTTTTCAGTATTTGTTTTACGATTTTACACCGTTCATCAAAGCCAGAGGTTCTGGGTTTTCCATCATTCGTTTCATAGCAAAAATCGTGTACACAGCTCCTCTGAGTTTTCTTTTGGCGTTAAAAGCATTCAGATTATCCAAAGTTCCCTTCCGATGGGCGGTCGATAATTTTCTGTTCTGGGTCCACGGATCTTTAACAACTTCCACCGCTGTTGCTCGTTCATTTCTGTCGACCATGAACTGCAAAAGGAAGTGGATAGATTCAATAAAAGTCAGCACAAAGTGAAAACGATTCGCTTAATTTCAAAGCAGAAATTGCTGCATGTAGTGTACCTTTATTGGAATCAAAGGACGCCTCCTATTCAGAAATTAATTATATCGTTATCGATTTATTTATTTTGACATGCCAGGTAAGGTTTCCTCCAATGCCATAACTTGGTATCGACCACTAGATAACCACCCGCGATCCACAATCTTTTATTTTGTTACGATGAGGGGCTAACGCTGGAGACATTGGCTTTCCAAATCCGTTACGGTGGTTAATTTTCCCATATCAGTGTTTAAAATTTATAGCACGGACTTTTAAAGCCAATACACGTACGCGTTGCCGACCTACTACAACTGGCTTAGACAAAAATGCAACGATATGAGAAGAGGAGAATGGACAAAATGCCTTACCATGCTTTTTATCAGCCGTTTAGCTCCTTCGGAGATAGATTTCCATTCTTGATCTGGGAAACTGTACTTTCCACGTGCGATGAGACTGTAAAGCTCTTCTCTATTTGTGCTCCAGAAAGGAGGATAACCGGCCTTTGAAAAGAAACATGGCGATTAATCTGAGTACTGATTTTCACGACATGTCGGCATTCATTAGTCTGACCAGGAGTCAAGCACATAAACAGATGATAACTATGTAAGGGCTTAATGTGGGTTAAGTGTACATAAGTGTTGTTACTGTTGTTGTTGTTGTTGTTGTTGTTGTTTTTGTTGTTGTAGAAGTAGTCCAGTGACAGCCGGGTCATCAGTAGTTGGTTGTTTAATTTTATCAAACCCTATTTTCGTAATCTGCGCGACGCAATACAACACATTACTACAACAGAGTGCATAGATCTTTTGATCAGTGTCGAAAAACTTGTGAGAGTTAGCGTGATACATGTACAAGAAAAAGAATATGCACTTTATGTTCGCTCTGCTTTTCAACCATGTCTGTGCGGGACTGCCGGCACATGCTATATTCGGGTATTCTCTAACAACAAGAGAAAAATGTCTTCATCAGTATTTTGATCCAAACGTGTGGTACACGGAATCACAATTTTATCGAAATACAAAGTGTTCCTCGCTCAGTTTTGGAACCAAAATTTACATATTATCTATTATATTGTAAATTTTATTTTATAATGACCAAAAGTACTAAGTGACAATTTAGAAAAACATTTCACTAGACGATTTATCTATATACATCTCGCGAAATTTGTCTTATAATACAAAAATATCGTGGATTTAAAAACCTACCAACATTGTGTAGAATATCACAGCGCATGCCCAAATATCCACTTCTCTGCCAATAGGTTGTTTTGTAATAGTTTCTGGAGCAAGGTAGAGAGGAGAACCCTCAATTGGACAGGACATGATGTCTGAATGTTCTGAAAAGGAACAATTTTGACGTTGACTAAAACGACCAAAATCAGTCCAACCCGCGCGTAAAATAAACTAAACAGTTATGTTGTGCTTGAATACATATAACAAGCGCAGCGGAGGGGTAACTAATCAGAAAGAGGAGCAGAACAACCTTGGTCTGTTTATCCAAGATGAACAAGATTCCTCGTTGCCACGTGTTTCTCCCAGCCCAGTTCAATTAATGATCATCATGCTACAGAAATCTGCGTTTGGCAGAAAGGTAAGGGTAAAGTCTGCATGCGAGGGAAGTGGCCCATCAGGCCAGGCCGGAGCTTATCCCAGCTTCTGTAGCATGAAGCGACTGAACTAGGAGTATTTCTACTCCCCCCTTGCAGGGATGCTAGTCCATCGCAGGGTTACCCCCACAGCATTGAATTCGCTGTTATAATTTTCTATTCAAAAATTTTTTTTTGACCGCGCGTCCACTGTAACCCAGTTTTCAAGGTCCAGCTAAATCGTTTGCCTCAGTCTCTCTCATTTTAGAAGGATAACCACGCCCTTGAAAACTCTGTTGTAATGCCTGGTCAGATTGTGCGTTTCTTCATTAAAACAGTCGCCTTTACTTATACAATTCTTGTACCTGGTAGTTTCTTGGCCAAACTAAATCCACTGAGTTTCAGTGGAGGAAAGTGGACATTGTTCTCCGCTGACTTCCAGGCAAGAATGAGTTTTTCGGGTCTGATATTCTGCAAGTGAAAAACAAAGGCTGTTATCTAGCTGTTGCTGCTGTTATTAAGGTAAAAAATATGTTAAAAATAACATACCGTAAACTTCCGAAAGTAACGACGATCGTTGCTTTCGGAATTAGCGGCCTTAGGGGCTCGCTACTCTTGATGATGCGAGTTATGAGCTTTTTTTCCAAATAAAAGATAGAAATTCGAAACAAAACATTTGTTCAAAAACGATATAAAATTCGCCTGGTTATTCCAGGTTCATGTTACTACCACATGGGTGGACTCTAAATGGCTACACCGTGTTGTCGGTTGTAGGCGCGAGTTGTTTAAGTTTCAATCGGCGTTCTTTTCTGAGCCCGTTGACTCGTTTCCTTACATNAGTGAAAAACAAAGGCTGTTATCTAGCTGTTGCTGCTGTTATTAAGGTAAAAAATATGTTAAAAATAACATACCGTAAACTTCCGAAAGTAACGACGATCGTTGCTTTCGGAATTAGCGGTCTTAGGGGCTCGCTACTCTCGATGATGCGAGTTATGAGCTTTTTTTCCAAATAAAAGATAGAAATTTGAAACAAAACATTTGTTCAAAAACGATATAAAATTCGCCTGGTTATTCCAGCTTCATGTTACTACCACATGGGTGGACTCTTAATGCCTACACCGTGTTGTCAGTTGTAGGCGCGAGTTGTTTAAGTTTCAATCGGCGTTCTTTTCTGAGCCCGTTGACTCGTTTCCTTACATTGATATCATAAAAACAAGGAATCTCTATTCCTTCTCCTTTCACCCCTACACCCTCAGTCGCACCTCTGCTTTGAACGGATATGCGCTATACGTATCTTGATATTATTTTGTAGCGATAGCTTGTGCTGAACTTCGTAGTAGTGTAAAAATGTTGGTCTCGTTATTTTCGGAAGGGGAGTTGGTGTGGGGCTTGGCGCGCTACTTTCGGAGGGGCGGGGGGGAGGGGTCGCTACTTTCAGATTTATTACAACCAACAATTTTTTGACGTTACTTTCAGGGGGTTGTTACTTTCGGAAGTAAACGGTAATGGACTTACTCTGTGCACAATCCTGAGCCCGTGTATATACTGCACAGCGCTAAACAACTGTAACATCACCTCGCGAGCTGTGCTCTCGGAGAAGGCATTTCTGGATACCAGATCCTCAAAGAGTTCTCCGCCGCACGCCAGTTCCATAACGAGGTAATATTTATTAAAAGCGGGATAAGAATGATGAAGCTTCAGAATGTTGTGATGATTCATTTCCTGTAGAATCTGGGAAAAAAGATTAAATTTCTCATTAANAGGGTCCTCACGGTAATTGTAGTTATTAGGGGCATTAGAAACCAGAAAGTGCTTAGCACAAAGGTAGTTCTTTAAAGTTGATCCTAAAAGAATTTCATTTGGAAGCAGTGCCAGTCCTATATAATCTGAGAGGCGTTGAGCCACATTATGAGCACAGCTGTTTCCTCCATGACCGTCCAACACTCCAAATAACAGGGCTTCCCTGTCGTGCAGTAATCTTGTCACGAACCTTCGATCCTCAGTAGGTTCGTTAGAAGGCAACAGATTGGACTCAAATCTGCTTACAATTCCGCCCTGAAGCTTCCCTTCACATTCATTTTTCGTAATAATGTCCATAACTTCCTCATCTGACATCATCCATGGTTCTTTGGAGCTGCTTCGAATGTTTATTCCGAATAAGCTCGATCGGGCGCGAGCTTTCGTCGACGTCAATGCCTGTAACACCGCTAAGTTGCCGATATTTGCAAATCCACGATAACCGAGACGGGTTGAAATTCTACTATTCCAATTAAAACTATTAATTGTTTTCTTTCTTCCTTCGGTATAACTACGTCTGGAAAATGATCCCTTGAAGTTTGAGAACATACCACGTTGCATAAGTGATGACTTGTTTATACATTGTTGTGCTTTTGAGATTCCAGCGCGCGATGAACGGGCCATCTTAACGGTCAACATCTTAGTCACGTCCTGTAGCAACGACTTCAACCAGTTTGTCATTAAAATGACGGGAAGATCTTGAGAACAAAGCCAATTTTACCCCCAATATTCTTCAGTCCCTTCGGTGTACGTATATATCTCTAATGACAATGATATCGAACGGCTTAGTCTCTTTTGAAAACGCAGATCGCGCCTTTCGTCAGTAGCACACGATCCATGTTGCAGCGTTTTCTCGTTGCATAAAGCAAAATTCATCCATTATGGTTGGTTATGACCTCACAAACAACAACAGTACAATTAAGCAAACTTCCTTGGGTTCGACCGCCATGTTGATTAACAAAGTACCCATAATGCCCTGTTGACAGAGAAAGACTACTTCCCAGGCCCAATCACCCGTTCTAGTTTTCGGCGTGTCTTCGCCCGTACCGTTGAGCCTGTAAACGCGCACTGCTGTGGCTGTTGTTTTCAGTTCTTTATTAAGGCTGGATTCAGAGGATTTAAGGCTAGATGGTGGCACTACATTGAAAGAGGATTTCCAGTCCGTACTGCGCAGTCTCAGCACCCTAATGACACTGTTCATAAACATTATAAGTCTCCTCGATGAAATGCGAATCGATCAGTGGAATCGATTTTATTCGTTACGAACCTCATACCCTATCTCTAAGGTCTTTCAAATTCTTTTTCCAACAGTTTCATTGATTTTTACAGCTTCGAAATTGTTTCATCAAGTGGTACTAGAAAGAACGAAGCATAAAGCGTCGACCGCTCGCATCCGTAATGGAGCTTGTTTTGAAACTTTGAATTTACCTGATGTAAGTAGTTGCCAAATGTTTACATTTTGTGATGTCTTACATGAAATAACACAAAAAACGTAAACAAACTCTCGAGAGTGCGCAGTACGGACTGGAAATCATCTAGTACCCATTTACATTGGCCGGTTTCGCCCGCCAGATCACACCTCTCCGGCAAATCAATAAAAGACGCAACCAAACCCTTCTGCCTTTTAATTCATTTTAATTTTATATTTCATATAAGGCATTTACTTTTGCTAATTGTGGTAAAATTCTCAGATTTCTCTGAATAAACCCGCTTTTTTTCCATTTGCTTGATTTTTTTATTTTTAATTTGTTTCGTTGTTGCGCGATTCTTTTCCTCGAGTCCGAAAGTCACTCCTCCTTTTCTAATGCTCAAATAAGGAGCAAACACCTACGGCTGAAAATACTCATCGCCAGCGTAGAATAAGATGACGAAATCAGCGACGTCTGTATCTGAATCGGCTGTTCTTTTAACTTCGTCCGTTTTGCCTGAGCTCTTGCGAAAGCGTAGTCCATGTATCATTTATTACATTTCTTAAAAAAAATACCTAGAAGGCATACCTAGAACAAATTCATGAAAAGGTATATGATTCCAAGTTAACTGGGTGTCACTGATGCACAAACAAGGTATTTCAGTGTAGTTAGGATAAGATATATGGACAAGAAAAATTTGGGTCCGGTCAGAAATCTTTCACCGTCGTCACGAAAGCTATTTCGCTAGGAAACCACGGTCAGTAACTGAGCAATGGTGATGTCTTTCGCGTAAAAAATGTATCATTACAATAATACTGATAAATAAAACCAAAATGCTATGCAAGTCTCGCTAGGACACAGAAGAAGAAATTTATGATTTAATAGTGACTGTATGGAAAATGTTGGGTTTTATAGTTTTCAGTATTTGTTTTACGATTTTACACCGTTCATCAAAGCCAGAGGTTCTGGGTTTTCCATCATTCGTTTCATAGCAAAAATCGTGTACACAGCTCCTCTGAGTTTTCTTTTGGCGTTAAAAGCATTCAGATTATCCAAAGTTCCCTTCCGATGGGCGGTCGATAATTTTCTGTTCTGGGTCCACGGATCTTTAACAACTTCCACCGCTGTTGCTCGTTCATTTCTGTCGACCATGAACTGCAAAAGGAAGTGGATAGATTCAATAAAAGTCAGCACAAAGTGAAAACGATTCGCTTAATTTCAAAGCAGAAATTGCTGCATGTAGTGTACCTTTATTGGAATCAAAGGACGCCTCCTATTCAGAAATTAATTATATCGTTATCGATTTATTTATTTTGACATGCCAGGTAAGGTTTCCTCCAATGCCATAACTTGGTATCGACCACTAGATAACCACCCGCGATCCACAATCTTTTATTTTGTTACGATGAGGGGCTAACGCTGGAGACATTGGCTTTCCAAATCCGTTACGGTGGTTAATTTTCCCATATCAGTGTTTAAAATTTATAGCACGGACTTTTAAAGCCAATACACGTACGCGTTGCCGACCTACTACAACTGGCTTAGACAAAAATGCAACGATATGAGAAGAGGAGAATGGACAAAATGCCTTACCATGCTTTTTATCAGCCGTTTAGCTCCTTCGGAGATAGATTTCCATTCTTGATCTGGGAAACTGTACTTTCCACGTGCGATGAGACTGTAAAGCTCTTCTCTATTTGTGCTCCAGAAAGGAGGATAACCGGCCTTTGAAAAGAAACATGGCGATTAATCTGAGTACTGATTTTCACGACATGTCGGCATTCATTAGTCTGACCAGGAGTCAAGCACATAAACAGATGATAACTATGTAAGGGCTTAATGTGGGTTAAGTGTACATAAGTGTTGTTACTGTTGTTGTTGTTGTTGTTGTTGTTGTTTTTGTTGTTGTAGAAGTAGTCCAGTGACAGCCGGGTCATCAGTAGTTGGTTGTTTAATTTTATCAAACCCTATTTTCGTAATCTGCGCGACGCAATACAACACATTACTACAACAGAGTGCATAGATCTTTTGATCAGTGTCGAAAAACTTGTGAGAGTTAGCGTGATACATGTACAAGAAAAAGAATATGCACTTTATGTTCGCTCTGCTTTTCAACCATGTCTGTGCGGGACTGCCGGCACATGCTATATTCGGGTATTCTCTAACAACAAGAGAAAAATGTCTTCATCAGTATTTTGATCCAAACGTGTGGTACACGGAATCACAATTTTATCGAAATACAAAGTGTTCCTCGCTCAGTTTTGGAACCAAAATTTACATATTATCTATTATATTGTAAATTTTATTTTATAATGACCAAAAGTACTAAGTGACAATTTAGAAAAACATTTCACTAGACGATTTATCTATATACATCTCGCGAAATTTGTCTTATAATACAAAAATATCGTGGATTTAAAAACCTACCAACATTGTGTAGAATATCACAGCGCATGCCCAAATATCCACTTCTCTGCCAATAGGTTGTTTTGTAATAGTTTCTGGAGCAAGGTAGAGAGGAGAACCCTCAATTGGACAGGACATGATGTCTGAATGTTCTGAAAAGGAACAATTTTGACGTTGACTAAAACGACCAAAATCAGTCCAACCCGCGCGTAAAATAAACTAAACAGTTATGTTGTGCTTGAATACATATAACAAGCGCAGCGGAGGGGTAACTAATCAGAAAGAGGAGCAGAACAACCTTGGTCTGTTTATCCAAGATGAACAAGATTCCTCGTTGCCACGTGTTTCTCCCAGCCCAGTTCAATTAATGATCATCATGCTACAGAAATCTGCGTTTGGCAGAAAGGTAAGGGTAAAGTCTGCATGCGAGGGAAGTGGCCCATCAGGCCAGGCCGGAGCTTATCCCAGCTTCTGTAGCATGAAGCGACTGAACTAGGAGTATTTCTACTCCCCCCTTGCAGGGATGCTAGTCCATCGCAGGGTTACCCCCACAGCATTGAATTCGCTGTTATAATTTTCTATTCAAAAATTTTTTTTTGACCGCGCGTCCACTGTAACCCAGTTTTCAAGGTCCAGCTAAATCGTTTGCCTCAGTCTCTCTCATTTTAGAAGGATAACCACGCCCTTGAAAACTCTGTTGTAATGCCTGGTCAGATTGTGCGTTTCTTCATTAAAACAGTCGCCTTTACTTATACAATTCTTGTACCTGGTAGTTTCTTGGCCAAACTAAATCCACTGAGTTTCAGTGGAGGAAAGTGGACATTGTTCTCCGCTGACTTCCAGGCAAGAATGAGTTTTTCGGGTCTGATATTCTGCAAGTGAAAAACAAAGGCTGTTATCTAGCTGTTGCTGCTGTTATTAAGGTAAAAAATATGTTAAAAATAACATACCGTAAACTTCCGAAAGTAACGACGATCGTTGCTTTCGGAATTAGCGGTCTTAGGGGCTCGCTACTCTCGATGATGCGAGTTATGAGCTTTTTTTCCAAATAAAAGATAGAAATTTGAAACAAAACATTTGTTCAAAAACGATATAAAATTCGCCTGGTTATTCCAGCTTCATGTTACTACCACATGGGTGGACTCTTAATGCCTACACCGTGTTGTCAGTTGTAGGCGCGAGTTGTTTAAGTTTCAATCGGCGTTCTTTTCTGAGCCCGTTGACTCGTTTCCTTACATTGATATCATAAAAACAAGGAATCTCTATTCCTTCTCCTTTCACCCCTACACCCTCAGTCGCACCTCTGCTTTGAACGGATATGCGCTATACGTATCTTGATATTATTTTGTAGCGATAGCTTGTGCTGAACTTCGTAGTAGTGTAAAAATGTTGGTCTCGTTATTTTCGGAAGGGGAGTTGGTGTGGGGCTTGGCGCGCTACTTTCGGAGGGGCGGGGGGGAGGGGTCGCTACTTTCAGATTTATTACAACCAACAATTTTTTGACGTTACTTTCAGGGGGTTGTTACTTTCGGAAGTAAACGGTAATGGACTTACTCTGTGCACAATCCTGAGCCCGTGTATATACTGCACAGCGCTAAACAACTGTAACATCACCTCGCGAGCTGTGCTCTCGGAGAAGGCATTTCTGGATACCAGATCCTCAAAGAGTTCTCCGCCGCACGCCAGTTCCATAACGAGGTAATATTTATTAAAAGCGGGATAAGAATGATGAAGCTTCAGAATGTTGTGATGATTCATTTCCTGTAGAATCTGGGAAAAAAGATTAAATTTCTCATTAAATTAAAATCTGGTTAAGCAAAATTGATTAATAATTAAAAAATATCTGTTGAGGCAGAAGTACGGTAATAAATAAGTAAAACTACAACAACCGAACCAGTAACTTATAAGTGATTTATTACAAACCAGTCATTTATTGCAAACCTGAATCAGTAAATTACATTACAAGACAAAACAATAAAATTAATCGAATCTTAATTTATTCTCCGCTGAAATTAGTTGAGCAAGCCGACATCAAATGAAGAGAGGATGCCTGTTTTGCAAGATCCCTGAGAAAGGTTTTGATAAAGGAATAAATGAAACTAGAAAGTGGTTTAAATCTCGGCAATGGGCTGAATAAAGAGTTTCCCTATAACTTTCGATCATAGTTATAAGAAACACACACTTTGGTCGGCTTGCTTTAGTATATGTTTTTTTTTTTTAATTGCAATATTTTTGCCTTATTCAATCAGAATTGCGTTCTGTGGTACGGTTTTATTGACCAATCAGGTAGATAACTTCTCACAAGCTTTCCTGCGCTTTCATGTATGCATATCTGGAAATTGCGTTCAATTTAATAAAGTTTCTAGGGTTTTATTGCTAATACACTTGCCACTAAACTCATTAACTGCATCTATACTTATTTTCTTTGATTTTAGTGCTCTGTCTGTCGAACAAGATTATCTTAATCCAGGCACTGATCTTCTCAGATGATAAGATTTTTACACTAAGACAATAGAGAATATGTTAGGCGAGCAACACTAAACCCTAACCCTAAGCTGACTTTTGTCGTATTTCACACCCCAGAAAACAAAATCGTGCCAGTCGAACAAAGCACTGGGTAAACATTTAAATTCTCGTCACGTCCCGTGTTCAGATAACTTTTTCAATATCATGGAGATAATTATTAATTCAAAACGGTTCACTACACATCACTGTCATTATATGTTTACATGATGTTTGGTTTTAACAAGTGGTTAAGCGGTCGACTTCATCAGTTCCCCACTTCCTTCCTTTGTCCATTTTTCTTTACCAGCACGGACTCACCGTTCATTTCGATCAGTGAAGGAATAAAAAAATAGTTTATTCGTGTTTTGGACCTCGCATGTAAATTATGACCACAGGTTATGCGGAAATTCACGTACTTGCGTGATCTTTTTTCCTGTTTTGCGCAGTGTTTAATCAGCGCCATGCATAATTGGCCCAAAGGCACTATTGTTCTGAAAAAATTAATTGTCGTCACAAACGCTTCTTTACGCAGCTTTATGACATTCTTTTGTTAAACTCAACTTATTACATCGTCTGACTTCGCAGACCAATGGTGTACACGTGCGATTCAAAGCTTTTAGCGGCCTTTGGACTTGTAATCTATTGTAAGTGATCCGGTCGTGGGGTAAACTTAACAACTTTTGTTGGAGTTTGTGAATTATACATTGTATGAAGTGATGATAAAAATCAAACAAATTAAAGTTAATATGGATACATAAATCTCGAGAAAGTGTCAGTAAAATTATTTATTTGCCTACACTATAGATTGCGAACACTGGAATAAAATGTGCATCCGCGAATTCTGATAACGCATAAGAAGACAAGGGATGTACACGTGTTCCAAAAAATAGGGTACTTCAATCTCAGCGAATAATTTGTACGCCAAAAGTTAAACAAGCCTCGCTTGGACGCCGGTCACGTTACTTACCTTTGCAGCATGTCTTGGTCTCCCAACTAGTTAGCTTTTCAAAGGATAGCAGTGGCATACGCATCATAAACTGTACAAACGGAAAAACATTTACCTCGATTTCTTGCTCAATTCTTTCTCTCTGTTCGTCTGTGCCATAAATCATTTCCTTCACTGCGAACGCTTGCCTCGTCCGTTTATCGATGCATCTCTTGACTTCGCAGAAGGAACCTTGGCCCAAAATTTCCCTGACATCATACTGGCACACAAATTCCATAACTTGCCGCCTTCCAGTTAATTTTCTCAGCGTATAGTTTCAACTCTGTTCGTATATCCCGGCAGTGTATGCCGGTTTCAAAAGAACTCCATAAGCCGACTCGATTAATTAAAGTAGAAGAGGTTAAAAACCCACAAAAGTAAAAACCGTTTTCAACAAGTTGATTAAAAATGATCAAAAATATATGAGTCTTCTCGCTATTCGACGAGTCGAGACAGACTGCTGAGACGAATTTCTAAACGTGTTTCTCGATTCAAGCTGTGAGATCTTGTGAGCTTTTGTTTTATCGTGAAGTGGCGTTCAGTCGTCATAGAAAGCTAAATCAATAAGCATGTGTCAAAGCGCACATCACATTGAAATAGTAAGTAGTGTTTGATTTACTTCGCCGATCAAACACAATGGACAGCAAACTTAGCATAAACATCTCATATTAAACGCAAAAGCGATAAGCCGTTGCTACTGCTATTCGTAATGGTGTTAGGACTTCATTTAATTTTATGGAGATTCAGTTGCTTTCAATAGAAGCAGTTAAACAAGAACTTAAGTTGACTACAGATGGAAGTTTCTGACTGTAAGTGTCAATTTCAAAAGCAAACAAGTCAAGTGTAATAAATTCGCTATGACGTAGCATAATTGAAATCTATGCTGCACGAGATCGTGTCAGCGCAAATGTCATGCATTTGTTAAGTACGTTGACGTTTAAGTCTACTCAGTTAGAACTGAATTCTGTTTCCAGGATTTTTTTCGCATCTCAGCGCCGATACGATCACCGGAAAAACCTTGGATACGAGGTTGTGCATATGACACCGGGCTTCTTCAATTTCGTCCGGTATAGCTTCGCGCGGGTCTTCACGCGGGACTTCGCGTGATACGCGAGAGGAGGGATAATTCAGTTGCGGGGCACTCGTCTCATTTCCTCAAATAAACGGTTGCATCCTGCGCATCTGACGCGCAAAAGAACTGGATGGGGGAGGAGATTGATGGATAGAAATAAAACTGTCAGAGGGCCAGCATTGTGGCAGGCCTAACCAAAAAGGCAAAGACACTAAGCAGCGTCCACACCAAGCCGAAGAAATTTGAAAACGCAGCTTTATTTCTACAGTCCACCCTAATCCGTCACGATTTAAAACAGAGTTGTCCAAAATTCTCTCCAAACCGGTGGATTTTGAAAACGGCGGCTTTGCGTTTTGAAAACGGAGATTTTCGAAAATGATGGCGTCACGATGATCAAGTGATTTCCCTGATCGAGTTTTCCTCAAACACAAACCCAAAATGACCAATGATTGTTACGTTTTAACATTCCTCCGGCCGGCATAGTGTATGGAAAACATTTGATGCGTTTACAGAGTGAAACCTCCGTTTTCAACTTCCTACGGCGTAGTGTGGGCAACACACTGTAATGAAGAGTACATGTATCACAAATTTGCAGCTCAGTAGACTGTCTTCAAATTCTTCATCCGCGGCTAATTAAGGCACAAGTCATATAAATATATCTTCTATTTAATAAATTTTTAAACCAAAAATATTGAACATCTAACTTTGAAGCTTCTCATTAAAATAAGTTAGTTTGAAATAAATGTCAAGGCAAGATAAAGCAATTTTTTTAAAGTAAATTCAATCTATATCATTGTTAAAAACAAGTCTTGGCAAAACACTTTTTGACTGCATTTGCCAATAGTCAGCCATTGAATAATGCTAAATATCATTAGATAAGGGTACAAGCGGTATTTTGT